ACTAAGTATTTTCGTCATTTTGTGGAATGTTGTGATTTCATTATATTTACCGACCACAATTCTTTGACTTACGACTTACACACCACCACTGATAGATATTCACTGCATTAATTACGTCATCTAGACTGTATTTCGTAATTCACGTCGGACATCCGTCACATTTCTGGTGCTAATAACCCCTTCATAGACGCATTGTCTCACGTTTGTACCGCTACTTCACCTCAGGCGGTTGACTTAAGGAAGATTGCTGAACTCCAGAGTTCAGACGAGAAGACGGAAAAACTTCAAGACTCAACCTCCCTGAAGATACAGTGTGTACGGATCCTGAACACTGAAGGTAAATTCCTGTGTGACATCTCCACAAGCACACCCAGACCAGTTGTTCCTTTACCTTTGTGTAAGCCCGTTTTTGATGCTCTGCCTTGTCTTTCGCATCCTGGTATACTTGCTACTGACAAACTGATATCTGCTAGGTTTGTATGTCCTGGTATCAGTCGTGATGTTCAAAACTGAACACGGTCATGTACTCAATTCCAACGTTCCAAGGTGGATCGCCATAACATTCCACCGCCTGGAACTTTCGCCAAACCGGATTCACGGTTCGCCCATGTTTATTTAGACATTGTTGGCCCACTTCCACCCTCTGAAACTTATTACTACCTACTGACATGTGTCGATAGGTTCACCTACTGGCTGGAAGCCATTCCATTGTCTGACATTACCGCTGAAACACTAAGTCGAGTTTTCGTCGAAGGATGGGTTTCACAGTCTGGATGCTCTCCCACCGTGATAACCGACCGAGGCCAACAGTTCGAATCCATTGCCTTCCGGAAGTTGATGAATCTGTTGGGATGCGAACGCATTGGAACCACTGCATATCACCCAGTTTCCAATGGTTTGGCAGAACGGTTTCATCGACATCTTAAGAGCGCAGTAATGGCAATCGACAATATAAAATGGACTGAGTCTCTGCTGTTGGTTCTTCTCAGCATTCGTTCAGCACTTAAGGCGGATACACAGTGCACTCCTGCTGAGTTGGTTTACGGCAGTAACTTACGTTTTCCTCAGTGCTTGCAAGAACTGGCGCGGAATCACTCTCCTGTCCACCCCAAGTAAAATATTAAGCCGCATCATCCTGGAGAGGCTTAAAGATGCACTGGATTCAAAACTACAACCGGAACAGGTTAGCTGGATTCAGGAAGTACAAATCATGTGCTGACCAAATTGCAACGCTTCGTATCATCATAGAACAGAGCATAGAATGGCAATCAGCTCTATACCTCAACTTCATCGACTTTGAAAAGGCTTTCAACAGTGTCGACCGAGAAGTAATTTGAAAACTGCTTCAACACTATGGATACCACAAACCTTTATGAACCTCATTCAACAACTATATGAAGACGCCACATGCCAAGTAATTCACAATGGGAAGCTCAGCGATGCTTTTGAAGTGAAGACAGGAGTGAAACAAGGTTGCCTACTATCCCCCATGATATTCCTGAGTGTGTTGTGGTCGGCTGGATCATGCAGCAAACAGTAGGCAGCGAGAAGAGGGGGATACACTGGACGGCGGAATAGAGCCTAGAAGACTTGGATTTCGCCGATAACTTATGCCTAATGTCACATAAACTTGAAGACCTACAGGCGAAAACTAACAAGTTGATAGAAGAGGCAGCGAAGACGGGACTTCAAATGAATATAGAGAAGACAGAAGTGATGAAGATACCGCACCACCACCATCAACAACAACGACAAACTCCAATCACCATCATCGGGAGAAACTTGAAGGAAGTAACCTCCTTCACTTATCTAGGGAGCACTGTTTCAACTACAGGCGGGACGGACGAGGACGTCAAAGTGAGAATCGGAAAAGCAAGACAGGCGTTCATTAGCCTGAAACCAGTGTGGAGATCTTTTGCACTCAGCATGTGGAACAAGATACGGATTTTCAACACCAACGTCAAGTCAGTGCTCCTGTATGGTTCAGAGACTTGGCGCGTCACGAAAGGCATTTCCAATAAACTACAGACATTCATCAACAACTGGTTACGCTGGCTCGCTACTGAAGATCAGATGGCCAGAAAGAATAAGCAACAAGGAACTCTGGGAACGAACCAACCAAGAACCTATCACGCAACAAATATGCAGGAAGAAGTGGAGATGGATTGGCCATGCACTGAGAAGGCCGACTGAGGACATCACGCGTCAGGCCCTCGAGTGGAGTCCCCATGGGAAGCGACGAGTTGGACGTCCGAGGGTGACATGGAGGAGGTCGTGCGAGGAGGAAATGAGAGGTTGTGGGCTGTCGTGGGACCAGGTCCAAAAGATCTCAGAGAACAGGATGAAATGGAGACGTGCTACTGAAGCCCTATGTTCCACTAGGAACCCAAGGGACTAATAATATAATAATAATAATAGTTAACTTAACAAATTAGTGGTTCCAACTCTCAATATTACCAAATTTCTATAATTTAGACTTCGTTTCCATTTGCCTCACTAAAAATATGCAGTATCTCAGACTAGATGGTACACAGAACAGAACAACCTCAAACATTTCGTCTCCTATCAGTCTATCTGTATCTGCATCAAATGATGTTTATCTTTGGTCAAATCTTTGCCCAGCCGACATGTCAAGTTCTGTAATCGAAAGGAAACAGTACATTATACACCGCTGGCAAGTTTAGATTCAAAATTGAAGTCTAGAATTTCAACCAAAGCAAATTATTTGATTTGAAATCTGTTTTTGCTAACATTTTATTCTCTTGATGTGTTGTTGTTTTCTTGTTAACCTTAGACAAAAATGACAGTTTTGGATTTACCAATCAAATGAACTTTTATTATTAGTTGGTCACTAGTGGATAACCTTTGTGGCTATCTAGTCCTTAGCGCCGCTGAACTCGGTGGTTGAAGTACGTCGATCGACTTTGCAATATGACCACTAAGTGATGCGACATTGGTTGGAGCTATAGCTCAGTGGTCTACAGAGATAACTACCAACCAGTGGGTCACAATTCTGTGTGAATGCAAAAGGAATTTTATATTTTAAGTGAACTGAAGTCCACAAATTAGTCTGTGTCGATTGTAATGCTAATTATATTGAAGAATCAGCCTATGAGATCCTCATTCGTGCCAAAGCACATACGAATTACACAAAACGACCGCCAAATAATCTTGTGGAACTAGGGAATTTACGAATCAAACCGATAATCGCTGTCCATGTTATCCATCACCGTCACAAAATTGATACTAAAAATGTTAAAATTATTCAAAAGGGTTTTACGAAGTACATGGAAAGACAGATATCTGTGAAATCTTAATACACTCAAAAGAAAGGGAAACCTAACTATGCAATCGTCTTAGACAGTGTATCCGAAATAACACCTCACTTACAATAACCATAACAAACGTACACAAACAAATCAGATTTGTCATCCATAGTTTTTTTCTCACATATTCATATTTTCACCTTGACTTCCAGACTAATAACGGATAGCAGTGACACTTATGCCCATATTATTATTGTATATGAATATTGTGGTCTGATTTGTCACCATTTACTATTTAAACATTCGGTAACTCAAACAGGTTTTATTTTCTGAAGAAGCGATTTCCAGGAGGTCATGAAACGTCAGAAAGTAGTTTTTCTACCTTTTTAGGATTTTATAAGTATATTCCAATTGTAATCCATTTAACCAATGCTTAAATTAGTCAACTCTATCTGGTTAACTTTTGATCTTGAAGTTTATAGAATCAATCATATTTTACAACAATAACACCTATACTTTTGAACTTTATCAACTTGTATAAAATCTTCTTAGTAAGTATCCCTTTCTAGTATGAATCGGGAAGTTTCATTAGTTTAATTAAATCGTGGTACCAAAAAATTATCTGTCAGTTTGATGACATTCATTTCATATGATAATCACATAGATGAACAAATACTCTGGAGTCTTCAAATTTTCAGACGTTAAATGATTAATGAAATCACCGCAAACACTGAGTTGGAGAGTAATAAGCAGTCAAATCAATAAGTTTATGCTGCTTAGGTTGAGAAACATGAAATATGTCTTGGATAACAGTGAACCATATTTAGGGTTAGAAAGGTAAAATGAGTCATGATATAACCATCTACTAATCATTACCGACTGACTTTCAAGTTCGTTGGTAAGTCTACAGTTTTATTATCTTACTGAACCAATGTAAACTTCTTTACAAGGTTGAAAGTTTTCTTCAAAATATTCAGTTCAAATTAGATCAAAAGTATCTCCCCTGCTTTTTATGGCATTTTATTTATCCATTCAGAATTGTTTGTGTTGTCTTCATAGGCAGCTGATTTCAAGTTAACTCATTAGACTATCTACAAGAATTCAATATTCATTATAGAGGATGGCCTTTTTTGACTAATGAAGTTCATTACTTTTCGGATAAGCACAGGCTGCAAACGTTGAATGTTAACATTTAAAGTTTTGATCCTGGTTTTAGAAAATTTCAGATGAAGACCTGGTGATTAGCATCAAGTTCATTTTTGTAAGTATTTGGACTATGCTACAATGAAAACGGTTTGGAAACCAAACAAAATAAATAGTGGAGAGTTAGGAAACCTGAAGGATTGTGCAATAACACCTTTCTAATAAACATATTAAATGTGATATTCTTATGTTTTCGAAAAAATATATACTTTAATTCTTTAAGCATTATCTAATATAGCTCGCCTTTTTGTGATTTACAAGATACACTATGCATTGAGGCAGATGACGCAAATACCTTACTTTTTTCTCGGTATCATCGGTAGGCATTACTGGCCAAGAAAACATCCTCATGAAGTAAATTACTGAATTTGTAATAAGGTTTCGATATTTTTAGCCAAGTCACCAGACATTAAGGGATTCTTCTCATATCAGGACAGTGCAAATTTCACTGGTATCGTCATACAGTGATATCAATTATACAGTCACGATATTTCAGCAAAAGTAAAAACAGTCCTATTACGTGCAACTTACCCCCATAATTCTGCACCACATCTGTCACGTACACAAGTTGCGAAACTCAATGAAGCTGGTTGTGAATGATCCCCTTGACCACGTAAGCAACAGCTGTTCATAACTTTCATAATTTGCTTTTATTTTTTTGAAAATTTCTCCATAATCCACGAATAGCCTTTGAGCATTCTTCATACTGATTACCGCATTGTTGGACGCACTTATCAAAATCCTTTTTACTCAACTTGAGGCCATGATTATCGGCATTACAAAAATTCAAATGTAACCAGCATAATACACATACTAGCAATTTTTCAAATAGTCTTTGCATTTCGTCTAAATTGACAATGAATATCAAAATGATGTAGTTTAATTATGTGTATTACATCTTTTATAAATTTTCAGTTGGTTGTTTATAATTAGGATTGGACGAATAATTGAATACCTAAGAAATCCTGAATTGTGCATGATATTTAGTTGTGCGTGTCGGGGTGGGAGGAAGATGTTAGCTAAACACGTTAAAACTGCAGGTACTATTGATAATAAGAGTAAGTATTACAATATTACGGACCGGATACAGAATATAAATAACATAGTATGAGGTAAATCTCGATTAATTTTAACGTAGAAATCTACACATGTTGATTGGTTTCTCAAAAACTAGTTTCAGGAATTTTGGATAACAGAACGATGTCGCATTACTACAATCAATTATTGTTATTGTCAGTATTATTGTTTGGAATATTATGATGATATTGATATTGAGGAATAGATGTTGGATA